TGTGAAATGGGCTTCATCGGACATGATAATTTTGTTCCAAAATTACTCGTCATCTTCGGCCATTTCGATGACTCTTTGGGCCCATTCCAATCGACGAGGCTTGTCCGCAGGCAACATTCTTTGCGTCAATTGAATTTTGTACGGTAACAAATGCAAGTCAATGCGAATAATCCTTTGTAAAGTGGACCGAACCATGCCCAACTGCTGAGAACGGCGTTTTTGGGATGTTCTTGGGGACCTCTCAACACTGGCTCGTACGGCAGCGATATTCTCGGCCGATCGCCTTGGTCGACTTTTATATGGTCTCTTCGGATTAGAAAGAGCCTTACCAGTCGAAAATTTTTCGTATAAACGCTTAATGGTGTTCTTACTGGACTGACGCTTCAAACGCGGTATGTTATTAAGCGGTGTAACATCTCTGTCAAAAGTTATGGCGTTGCCAGATGGGTCCGTCGAATATGGGCAACCCTGTAGACAATTCTATTCCAGAGTGTAAAGTATTGAGTAGGAGCGCCTTTTTTGGAAGATTTTCGGACAATTCTAGTGAAAAAGTTAGATACAATAATCAAAATGCCGAATATATGGGGAATATACAATATCGTGGACCTATATAGACAATTCTATTCCAGGGGGTAAAATTCCTTGAATTCCTTGAACCTTGAATTCCTTGTTCAGATAATTCCATGGAAAAATGTTGCTAAAATCATCAAAATACCAAATATCGGGGGAACGGTTGTATGGGGGCTAAACGATATCGTGGACCGATATAGCCCATCCTTGAACTTGACCTGTATGCAGACAAAAGACTGATTTGTGTAAAAATTTAGCTTCCTACCTTAATTCGTTTCGACTCTAGCGTGATTAAAACGAAGGATGGACGGACAGGGCTAAATCGTCTTAGAATTTTACGCTGATCAAAAATATATGTGTTCTGTAAGATCTAAAAATATTATTTCAATGAGTTACTAGCGGAGGAGAGTATAAAAATATGACTAAAAAGTAAACAAAAATACTTGAAATCGTGTATGAAAAGGGTATACCCCCAAATATAGGGGGGCCATACCAAAACGTAGACCGACATGACCCGTATTTTGTACAAATGATTCTACATGTAACCCATTGGTCTGTGTCATATTTAAAAGCTCTATATAATATATTATTAAATTATTAAATTATTTGAGCCTCTTTCTGTAATGTTAATGCTATAAAACCTTTTGGGATTTTGACTTAATAACAGAATACTATCACCTTCACTTGGTAATTTTCACCCCGCACACCATGCCCCGAAAATTGTTGCATATTTTGTTTAGTATTTAATAATTATTATTTATAATTTAAGATTGCTCTGTTCCAAACCCTGCAAGAATCTACTAGTTTAACAATTTTTTTTCGGAAAAATCGGTTATCGTAATAAACACATTTACCTTCTGGTAAAGACCAGATTTATTTTTTATTCATTAAAATGTTTATTTATTAAAAATAATTTACAATTTATGATTTATAATTTGTACCGTGTATAGTGCATGTTTGTATTCCCAAATTTGAAGTCTTTATTTACGTTCACCACATTTGATTGTCAAAGCCTACCGCTACGGCCACCCTCACTTATTCGAACCGAAAACTCACAGGCACCGCCACCTCATTTAATAACCATTTGAAGGTGAACCAAATACAAAAAAAAATCGATTCATCCATTGAATAAAAGAAGTGTATTTTTTCGTTTGTGTGTTAGAGTACCCTTGCTTTTGGTTGGCATTTACATTTATTGGGCGCCACCAAATCGATAACTACAATTGTAATGTTCGCAAAGCAAATTACAGGTGTTGAAGTGGTTTGTTCGGGTTTTCGTTTTTTTTTTTGTGAAAAAAGTGCTTTTATGTCCTTCAATGAATCCTTTGATAGAATGAATGGGGTTTAAAAATACAATTTGTGATTTAGAAAAAGTGTTTGACATTTTTTCCATATTTACACAGGCATATGTGAGTTTTCTCACTAATTTAACATATCTCGTTGCACCTAAGCCCCTGCACCTAAATCCCTAACCCCCGATATTCGGTATTTTGATGATTTTAGCTACAATTTTCAATGGAATTGTCTGAAAAACCACAGAGGAAGTTCCTTCTAAATACTTTATCCTCTGGAAGAGAATTTTCTATATAGGTTCACGATATCGTATAGACCCCATACGAGATAGACCTCCACGAGATTTGAAATTTTGATGATTTCATGGACATTATTTACCGGAATTGTTTCAATTTTGTTATTTGGAGCTCGTAATGGTTATGACAGAAAATTGTCAATGCAGATCCACGTCCTCGTATAGACCCCATATATCGTTACCTCATTATAATCGGTAGTTTGACGATTTCACGTACAATATTCAACGGAATTGTTTTTAGTTTTTAACGGATTTTATTTATTTATTTATTTATTTTATTTATTTATTTTTTTTCTTTTTTGAAAATTTCTAAATTCGTTCCAAATGGTGAGGGTATACAAAGTTTGGCCCGACCTAACCTACTGCTCTATTACTTGTTTTTTTGTAATAAGTTTAAAAACCCCTTTAAACGGGATCATAGCATGTAAAAATATTCTACTGTTTGTAATAAAATAATGCTGTATGTCCTTAAAGACGTCTTAAATCTAACTGTTACCTATACGATAGGAATTCATATGAATTAAAACAAGTAAAAAATCTGTAATATCGGCCGGGCTGAACTTTGAATACCCTCCACCATTTGGAACGAATTTGGCAATTCTCAAAAACAATAAAATCAGGTTAAAAATTCTGTTAAAATCTTAAAAATACCGAATGTAGCTGTTATATTAGGGTCTATAGGAAGACAAGGACCTGCACAGACAATTTTCTGTTACAGGCTGTAGTATCCATTACGAACTTCAAATATGAAATTTGAAAGAATTCCGGTGAATAATGTCGCGAAAATCATCAAAATTCCGAATATCAGGAGGTACCGTGAAATGGGGGCTATACGAAGACGATTACCTGCACAGACCGTTTTCTTTCTTAGGCTGTAGTATCCATGACGAACTTCAAACACAAAATATAAAACATTTCCGGTTAATAATGTCGCTAAAATCGTCAATATACCGAAAATAGGGAGGTACCATTGTATGGGGGCTATACGATGACATGAACCTGCACCGACAATTTTCTGTCATAAGCTGTAGTATCCATTACGAAATTCAACTACCAAATTTGAAACAATTCGGGTGAATAATGTCGCTGAAATCGTCAATATACCGAAAATAGGGAGGTACCATTATATGGGGGCTATACGATAACGTGGACCTGCACGGACAATTTTCTGTCATAAGCTGTAGTATCCATTACGAACATCAAGTAACAAATTTGAATCAATTCCGGTGAATAGTGTCAATAAAATCATTAAAATACCGAATATCGGGGGGTGCCTTTATATGGGGGCTATACGAAGGCGTGGACCTGCACGAACAATTTTCTGTCATAAGCTGTAGTATCTATTACGAAATTCAAATACCAAATTTGAAACAATTCGGGTGAATAATGTCGCTGAAATCGTCAATATACCGAAAATAGGGAGGTACCATTATATGGGGGCTATACGATAACGTGGACCTGCACGGACAATTTTCTGTCATAAGCTGTAGTATCCATTACGAACATCAAGTAACAAATTTGAATCAATTCCGGTGAATAGTGTCAATAAAATCATTAAAATACCGAATATCGGGGGGTGCCTTTATATGGGGGCTATACGAAGGCGTGGACCTGCACGAACAATTTTCTGTCATAAGCTGTAGTATCTATTACGAAATTCAAATACCAAATTTGAAACAATTCCGGTGAATAATGTCGCTGAAATCGTCAATATACCGAAAATAGGGAGGTACCATTATATGGGGGCTATACGTTAACGTGGACCTGCACCGACAATTTTCTGTCATAGGCTGTAGTATCCATTACGCACTTCAAATACCAAATTTGTAATATTTCCGATGAATAATGTCGCTAAAATCATCAAAGTATCGAATATAGGGAGGTGCCTTTATATGGGGCTATACGAAGGCGTGGACCTGCACAGACAATTTTCTGTCATTAGCTGTAGTATATATTACGGACTTCAAATACCAAATTTGAAACATTTCCTGTGAATAATGTCGCTTAAATCACCAAAATACCGAATATCGGGAGGTGCCGTTATATGGGGACTATACCAAAACGTGGACCTACATGGCCCATTTTTAATACGAAAAGTCCTTTAGACATAATATACATTTGAGTAAAATGTCATCAACCTACTTCAATTTGTTCGGAAGCTAGAGTGATTTGTATATACTTTGTGGGGTCTAAAATGTATATTTCGAGGTGTTAAAAACGGAATGACAAACTTAATATACCCTCCATACTATGGTGGAGGGTATAAAAAATATTTCTTTATGCAGGTTTTTATTATCATTTTCCCTCATTCTATAGCAATGAGCATAACAATTATATTCAACATTCGATTTTAAAGTGCTCATTTTTCAATTATCGCATCAAGTGGCATAAATATTGCCTCCCTCCTCTCGGCAGGGGTGGATGTTTGATAAACAAAAACATTCTCTCAATTTGATGGAATAAATGTGGGCAAATGCTGCATTAAAACATTGTCAGCATATCAAATTTAATTTTTGGAAATGTCGACCGATTTCTTGATAACAGAGAAGAAGACATTCCCAACAATTTTTCGCTAAGGATATAATGATACACATACATGTGTATGTGCCTCACGCACACACATTACCTTACTTTTTTTCCAAAGCCCCCCCCGAAAAGAAAAAAAACTTTCGCGATGGCTAGACACTGACAAGTCTAAATATTTTATGCCTGAAGTAACACAAAAATCCAAAGGATAACAACGAAACGTTGTCTGGATACAGGCGAGATATCTTACATAAGTACCAACTGGGTGGGGACTTTCTTATCGAACAAGAAGAACCAAAACGTACGAAATACTTACTTGACACTGGAGGAGGAGAAGAAGAAGAAAACGTTTTTCCACACAAAAATAGCAAATCTGGAGTTTAGTGTAATCCACAAGATATTCGACGTTTAGGATTGAATTTTTTTTATTTTCAATAAAAATTTTACGATTTAGTTTTAAATTCAGCAATTGTGTTGTTGTTTATTTCAAAAAAAAATCTGACACTACTTTTTTCGATGAATGCCTATGGCACTATTTTCTGATTTTATAGTTGTTATTTATGTTTGTATTTTTTTTTTTTGGCAATTTTATTGAATATATATTTTTTTTTCAATTTTATTATTGATAACTTTTTTATGTTTTAGATTTTTTTTTTTGTTGAATTTTTACTACCACTGGAAGATGTACAACACCCCGCTATGAATGACCAACACTGACTGAAATCCACATCAACTCGGCTGAAACTCTCTGGTGTGGCAAAATTTCGATGGATGAAAATTCCAAACTGTAATAGCAACAACAACAACAGCAACAGAAACATTAGCAAAAACATTAACAGCAGCAGCATAAAAGAAAAACGTTTGCCTCAGATAAAGCAATTTATCTGACCACGTTTTAACCCCTAAAAACTGAGGCGAGTGAGAAAAACAAAACACTCAAATTGTGCGTAAAGCACTCAGCCATTTGCCATACATGTGTGAGTACACTGTGAATGTTTCGAATATGGTAAGTTATTTCGTTACTTGTTTGTGTTGTCATTTTTTGCAATTTTTTCAAATGAAGACATGTTTTGTTTCAAAATCGTCGGACAGTACAACTTGACACAGTGTTGCAGAAGTGGTAATTGTTGTAATCTGCGACAATTTGTCGAAGTATTATTTTTGCAACAAAGGGTGATTCTCTAAAAAAAAAAAACAGTAAAAAAGCTGTAAGTTCGGCAGTGCCGATTTTTGAATACCCTCCACCAATTGGAACGATTTTGACAATTTTCAAAAAAAAAATCCTTTAAAAATTCTGTTAAAATCTTAAAAATACCGAATGTAGCCGTTATATTAGGGTCTATACGGCGACGTGGACCTGAATAGGCAACTTTTGTCATAAACCATTACAATATTCAAATGCGAAACTTGAATACAAAATTCGGTGAATAATGTAGCTAAAATCATCAAAATTCCAAATATAGGGAGGTACCCTTATATGGGGGCTATACGTAGACGTGGACCTGCATAGACAATTTTCTGTCATAGGCTGTAGTATTCATTACGAAATTCAAACACCAAATTTGGAACAATTCCGGTGAATAATGTCGCTAAAATCATCAAAATACCGAATATGGGGGGGTGCAGTTGTATGGGGGCTATATGAAGATGTGGACTTGCACAGACAATTTTCTTTCTTAGGCTGTAGTATTCATTACGAAATTCAACCAACAAATTTGGAACAATTCCGGTGAATAATGTCGCTAAAATCATCAAAATATCGAAGAAAGGGAGGTACTGTTATATGGGGCTATACCAAAACGTGGACCTACATCACCCATTTTCAATACCAAAAGTCCTGCAGATATAATATACATTTGAGTAAAATTTTATCAATCTACTTCATTTCGTTCGAAGGCTGGAGTGATTTCCACAGACGGACAGAAGGATAGACGGACGGACATCGCTAAATCGATATATAATTATATGCAGATTAAGAATATATATACTTTGCGGGGTCTAAAATGTATATTTCGAGGTGTTACACACGGAATGGCTAACTTATACCCTATAAATATGGTGGAGGATATAAAAATATATATCAGAAAAATGCATAAAATCTTTATTTAAATTGATAGTACGGACCACATCATTTAATGTTTGAAGTTCAAATCTTGACCACGACTGCACCTCAAATGGTCCATCCGCTTAGTCCAATTTTGGCATACATTTTCCAGCACTTCGGACGGTATCATACGAATAAATCTATTAATGTTCTCATCCAATTCGTCAATTGAAGCTCATTCGTCTGGGTAGATTTGAGCTTTAACATAGCCCCAAAAAAATAGTATAAAGGCGTTAAATAGCACGATCTAAGCGTCCAATTGACCGGTCACGAATGTGAAATAAGATATTCACCGAACTCTCCTCCTAGAACCATTGCTACGCATGCTGTGTGGTATGTGGCATCATCTTGTTGAAACCACATGCCATGGAAATCAAAATCAATCAAAGTCAATTCTGCTCATTTAAGTACCCATTGAGCCAAAAATGAGCTTCGTCGCTGAACACTGTTTTTATACCCTCCACCCTCCAAACACCTCGAAACATACATTTTAGACCCCACAAAGTATATATTTTCTTGAACAGCATAAAATTCTATGTCGCTTTAGCGATGTTCGTCCATCTATCCGTCTGTGGAAATAACTCTAGCTTCCGAACGAAATGAAGTAGGTTGATAAAATTTTACTCAAATGTTTACTATGTCTGCAGGACTTTGAAAATGGGCTATAAAGGTCCACGTATAGCATTTAGTATAGCATCCTAGCATATCACCTATATAACGGTACCTCCCGATATTCGGTACTTTAATGATTTTAGCGACCTTTTTCACCGGAAATGTTTCAAACTTGGTATTTGAAGTTCATAATGAATACTACAGCCTATGACAGAAAATTGTCTGTGCAGGTCCACGTCTTCGTATAGCCCCCATATAATGGTACCTCCCTATTTTCGATATTTTGGTGATTTTAGCTACATCATTCACCGGAATTGTTTCAAATTTAGAATTGGAAGTTTGTAATGAATGCTAAAGCCTATGACTGAAAATTGTCTGTGCAAGTCCACGTCTTTGTATAGCTCCCATATAACGGTACCTCCCGATATTCGGTATTTTAATGATTTTATCGACCTTATTATCCGGAATTGTTTCAAATTCGGTATTTGAAAATCGTTATAGATGCTACAGCCTATGACTTAAAATTGTCTGTGCAGGCCCATTTCTTCGTATAGCTCCCATATAACGATACCTCCCAATATTCGGTATTTTGATGATTTTAGCGACACTTTTAGAGGAATCTCTTGGCAAATACAAAAACATAATATTTATAAATGATTTCCAGGAAACAAATTTTTTTAATAGAATTTCATGTAGAACCTCTTGACCAAAATCCTTGGATGTATAAAAGCATACACTTAATGGTTTTCTGTAAAAAGAGAATAATTTTTTGAATGACTTTTTGGCCAATTTCTTTAAGAAACAATTTAAAAGAACATTCATTCTGGCCGTTTTAACAATATTTTATGAAGAATTTCCTCACGAAAATTTTGGGTTTTTTAATAAATTTTTAAAAGACTTTGTGACTTAAAATCTGCATTGCTCTTCTGAGTGGATCTTCGGAAGGGTCTTTGAAGAAGTCGGGGGTTATTCATGAACTTTCTGACTAAAAATCTAAGAAAACCTTTTTAATGAACTTCGTAAGCAAAGACTATAGTCGTACGGGCGACCGACCAATATAAACCAAACCCCCTTGGGCCAAACCCATTTTGGTTGATTTTTTGAAATAATGCCACGCAGTCCTGACGAAAATTGTGGGTTTTTTAATAAATTTTTTAAAAGACTTTTTGACTTAAAATCTGCTTTGCTCTTCTGAGTGGATTTTTGGAAAGGTTGGACCAATATAAACCAAAATCCCTTATGTCCAAATCCATTTTGGTTGATTTTTTTAAATAATGCCACGCAGTCCTGCAAAAATGGTACCTTTGGCTTCTTAAAAAATAACTACACAAAAGTTGGGCTTCTGCCTGTCCTAATTTCAAACCTCATACGAAATTTCGTGAACCCCTAAATATTTTGAGAACATATTTTGGCAATAGCCCTAGTCTAATTCCGACTTGAATTCAATACAATAGTGTAGTAGAGTGCAAAAAATTGTACTCCCAATAGTTTGCCTGTTCCATTACTGTAAGAATGTAAGAGTATCGAAAAAAGTCGAAAAAATATTCACATTTTTACAATTCACTTACTTCACTCTTAACATTATAGGTTTCGGCTTAGCCCTAAACTCTAGTCCCCTGCAAAATTCTGCGTCGATTGGTCTATAATTTTGACCAATAGAGCATCTGCAAAATCAGGATATTTTTCGGGTTTTGATCCATTTTAACCCTTAAATGTTTTGCCATCAACTCTAAAAACAATTCTGACACTCCATGCTATAGTTCGTGAGGATAGGGCTAAAATTGCGACCTGTGGCTTGATTACAAATTCGAAGGAACAGATCCATATGTAACATCGTGAGTCTAGGACTAATATTTACAAACTTTTTGGTCCATTCAGACCCCAACAACCCCAACAAATAGTTTTGTATGTTATAAAAATCTGTATGCAGTCTACATTTACATATTCAAATTATCACCACGGTATTACCTCCATGGTTTTTTGAGTGAAATGTTCCACGAATACGGACAGCTCTAACAATTCGTTGACATTCCTATACACACATCATCCCTTAGCCAATTTTTTGAGGAAACTAAACATTTCCATAGTAATACTCTTTCACACACACATACATATATTCATTTGTGTAGGCATAGCAACATATGAATTCGACAGACAACAATACCAACAAAAAAATCCACAAAACAACATAAATTTGTGTTCTCTCAATACTACTCTTACAGAGTAATTTGCCTAAACGGCTCTCTGCCTCTCTTATAAAAACACACAAAGTTCTCCTAATGAAAGCTTTACACTCAGCTCGTCATGTGTCAAAGGACATGAATATACACATTTTCCAAAAGATGTTTTGTTTTGCTTCGTTAACCACCTCCAACACCCCCTAATACTACGCGAGGCATATATCGTAAAAACGTATTGTTCTCTCTCCCTCTCTCCTCCTCCCTTCCTATGTCAACAATAAAATTATGGCCGGAGAACCATAGGGTAATGGAGGGTAAGGCGGGGTGTTAGCTTTAATTACTTTTAACATAACCTATTTTGTAATTCTTCTACATTGTTAAAGGAATGTCTTCTCAGCAATGTTGCCCCCTCAATCTCTCCCTCACTCTCTTTATTAGACTCTCTCTTCCTAACACCAGCAGGTATGTTTTGTGTGTGACTTTGTTTACTTTGAACAAATTCCAAATACTTTGTTTGAGTTGCCACAGGCCTTCTTTGTCCAGTGAAAATTGTTAAACCAAAAAGGAGGAAAAGTGTCCAAATTACAAATTCTGTGTCAGGCCTCCTCGGTTGTTTGCCCAAGACTTAATTAGATTAAAGTTTT